CAACAATTATAAGGGTTCAGTGGAAGAGGAAAGCTGTCCAGCAGCAGAAAGCAGTCCTTATAGGGAAGGGGAGTTCTCTGACAGGAAGAGGCCCTATCCATAGAAAAGATGTTGATAGAATTGCAGCAGTTTTTTAAATAAGAAACTTTCCATTTTCATTGAATTATGGGTCATATAATGAAGGCTTTCCATATATGTCATAGGTGCAAATATAAACATTGTATGCCTTCTGAAATCAAATAAATGTAATCTCTTTTATATATGTATACGCATGTCTGTGTCGTAGTTGAGGAACTTGAGTTTATGTGTTAAACTAGTAGTTTACTGAATATAAGTTTGAAATATTTTTCTAGAATTAAGTATTTTTAAATAAACTTAGAATTCTATTTTCTGCGAAAGGAATATGACAAATGTTTTCTCTTTCTTGACCATAAACTAAATTGAACCCGGTAGTTTTCCAGGTAGCTTACTATTTTAAGGAATGTGATAATTCAATTGTGAGACCTTTTTTTTTTTTTTCTTAAGGCTTCTGTTGTGATTTCCAGCAAAAGGTTCGATGTAGGTAGCATTTTATCTGATGTTGATGTTGCTTGGGATCGGAATTGACAATCAGGAGTAGTCTCTCTGTTTAGATTTACAAAAGGCCAGATAACTTGGATATCATTACTGCTTACAGAAACATCTGTATCTCTCTTCTTTCTTTTCTAATATTACACTCACTAGATCATTAATAAGTAAAATAAAACGTTCTTTATACTTTCACATAGCCCCTGAATTTTTCCCATTTAAAATGCACTGCTTGAAAAATCAAGGGGAAAACAAAACTTTATTTTTATTTTTATTTTTTTTTTACATTTTAGATAATGAAAAGAGGGCTCAGTGAAGAGTTTAACAGAGTTTCCTGAAGGGACCCTTTTTATTGCATATCTGTAGAGCTAATAATGGTGCTATTTAACAATCAAAATCTAAATACTCTGAACTGAAGATCAAGTCCCTTACTTTCAAACTGCTTCCTAAAGCTTCCCATTGAGGACTGTGTACTATAGGTGCACTGAATTACCTTCTGTTCACTATGCCCAGAATATACTTTTCTACTCTTGTCTCTGTGATATTCACGTCACATAGATTTCGTATGTCCATGACTTTGAAATTCTAAATCTAATCCATAATTTAAGGTTCAGTTAAGTTGCCACCCCCTTCAAATAGGCTTTCTAGAATACCACAACTAAAAGTAAAATTTCTGCCATTGAACTTTATTTTCTTTCTTTTTTAAAAAAAAAAAATTATTATTTTTTCTTTTTTTTTAAGATGGGGTTTCACCATGTTGGTCAGGCTGGTCTTGAACTCCCAACCTCAGGTGATCCGCCCGCCTTGGCCTCCAAAGTGCTTGGATTACAGGCATGAGCCACCTCGCCCAGCCTGAACTTTATTTTCATATACCCAGAGACTACTAGTGCTAGAACATAATTATGACTATGGGCCAGTCGCAGGGGCTCATGCCTGTAATCCCAGCCCTTTGGAAGACCAAGGTGGGTGGATCACTTGAGTTCAAGAGTTTGAGACCAGCCTGGGCAAAATGGTGAAACCCCATCTTGACAAAAAATTAGCGGGGTGTGTGGTGGCATGGGCCTGTAGTCCCAGCTACTTGGGAACTCAGAAGGCTAAGGTGGGAGGATTGCTTGAGCCCAGGAGGCAGAGGTTGCAATGAGCTGAAATGGCACCACTGCACTCTAGCCTCGGTAACAGAGACAGACTCAGTCTCAAAATAATAATAATAATATTTATGATTATGTTCAATTTTGATTTGTTCTGTTACACTATTATGATGCATGACACATATAACAATTCCTAAATGTGAGTCTTTCTCATGAAAATCACTAGCATATGTGGATACATACTTATATGTATTTTTAGCCTTTGTATTGAGTATTCACATATCATATGCATTTGCTTATGAGTACTTTTAAAAAGGGCTGGACGTTGTGGCTCACACCCGTAATCTCAGCACTTTGGGAGACCAAGGTAGGCAAATTGCTTGAGCCCAGGAGTTTGAAAGCAGCCTGAGCAACATGGCAAAATACCATCTCTACAAAAAAAAAAAATATATATATATATATATATATATACACAAAAATTAGCTGAGTGTGGCACGCTCCTATAGTCCCAGCCACTCAGGAGGCTGAGGTGTGAGGATTGCTTGACCCCGGCGCAAGTTGAGGCTACAGTGAATCATGATTGCCACTGCACTCCAGACTGGGTGACAGAGTAAGACACTATCTGAAAAAAAGAAAAAAAGTGAAAAAAGGAGTTAAATAGAATAGTATCTAATAGTATCTAAAATAGCAGTTAAGCAGTAGTGACAGTTGGATTTATTAAGGTTGGAGTATAGTACCTGGCACATTATTTTTTAATATGCACTTGTCTCCTGTATACTTCACATAAACCCTGATAGGTAAGGTACTGTTATTATTCCCACTTTACAGATGATGGAGCTGGAACTTAGGGAGATTATGTAACTTACCTAAGTTCTCATATATAGTCAAAGACCCCAAGACTTTTAACCACTTTGCTATGCTGATAAAAAGTCAGAAGACATAACAAGAATATAAAGTTTTGAAATTAAGCCGTAGGACACAGAAAGGAAAATGTTAGAAATTATACTTAGGATTACATTCTCATGTGTATTAGCAATGAGGACGCCACTGGCTGAGTACGAAATGATGTGTGTGCTTTATGACTTTGTTATGTGAAACGGTACTAACCATAGGAGAGGGTTAGATTAATATAGCTTTAGTTGTTGTAGATATTAATGGGAGACAAAGATTTACAAGAGCTTTCATAAAATAATTTGATTCCTTTATGCCTCTAAAGCTGTTTTCCCATGAAACATTAAAATTGTAAATAATGATTTATTCTACTGTGGGCTTCTTCAGAAACCTAACTCTTGGGGTTAGATTTCTACAGGGGTGCGTGTGTGTGTGTGTGTGTGTGTGTGTGTGTGTGTGTGTGTATGTATGTGTGTGTTTAAAAGAGCTATTAGTAAAACTGCATATACATTATTCCATTGTGATGTTTTAATTATTTTTGATTGATCCTGTTTTCTAAGCTCCAAATTAGAACAACCTCTTTAAACATTTATTACGAAGAAGTATCTGAACCAGTTTAACCTGACATTTGTAGACATCATCTTAGGGCTGTTCTTCTCTTAGAGGACCGTAACTTGGGACTATATCAGTTATGTCTGTTAACTAAATGCTTTGTCTGTTATACTAGCTTGCATTTCTATACAGAAGGAAGAGATTGAGTGAGAAATGAATTTGTTTCGAATACTCTGAAAATGTCTAGCCAGTGGATTATAATAACCGTAATCACAGTTTTTGGCCACTTGGCTAAAAGAATGTTGTTAATGCCCATACTGCTAGCTAAGACAGTCATGTGCACACTGCATTATGAACCTACTTCCAATAGATTAGGAAAATAGTTATGACAGGTTTGAGGCTTCTTTATTGCAAAAACCTTTTCTAGCGTTATGGCCGCAGAAGGAACCGCTGAAGAAAATAGTCATTAACATTTCCTTGAACACTAAATCCCCCGTTCTGCTCCTCCAGTATCTCATAGGCTGTCATCTGATATCAGCACTTATGTAATGTCACAATAGGTGGTGCCATAGTTCTATACTGCCTGGCATTATAGGAAAATATAAAATGCTATTCGACCAATCGAATAAAAAGAAGAAAAAATATAAAAAGTTTCCTGAACCCGGGTTTTAAGAAATTTATGAACAACTAAAAATTTCTCCAAAGACTGAATTCTTCCATTCTCTGTTAATAAAATTTCTCAGCTGCCTTTTGATTCTGCTAGCTGCAAGAATGGCAGAATGGGGCCTGAATGGCAAATTATATTATTTGTAACATTAATGCCAGCCTGTGTGGAGATTAATTACTATCTTTGTATTAAAGTACTGGTTGTGTTGGAATTGGGGCCTTTTTAAACTTCTCCCCCACCTTTGGTCATTTATACTGACAATTTGCAGTAAAATAGCTGACAACTCCCTATGATTAGTTTAGCCAGATGCTACTTGCTCTGGTAAATTCATTTTAAGCATTTGACAAGACTGCAAAGATTAGAGCCAGCTGGGCTTAAAATATTTTTACAGACGAATGATGTGTGAAAAGTCAGTTACTTTTGAGGTGTATGATGACTATGTAAATTAACTGACAACATATCTTCTTTGGTGTTTATTTGTGAATCATTTATCTGCTTTATAGAACAATTGGTAGAGTTATCCTTCACAGGTATGTTCAGAAGGTGTCACCAAATGGAGTGCTTTCAAGTTTTTGTATGTTATTATGTTGTCCTACGAATTGCCTGTGCTCCAGGACTTACAGAATTGCACAGTAAAATTGGGAATCTCTGGATTAAAGAGTGAAAATAAAAGTGAGAAGTCTTTTCTTTAGCTATTTCTACCATTCAACATCAAGAAAAAGGCTCTTACTCTCAACACATTGTTAGGAATGGCCGTCGAATGCCTTAGTTACCCACAACATTGAACTATGATGAGTAGTTGATTGGTTTTTCACCTTTCCTCATTCTTTGCCTTCCTTTATTATTATATCTTTAGTCTTTCTCTTATACTCTTTTTAAAAAGCATATATTATACTGTAGAAATGTTTCCTATTAGTGGTTAATGTGAGAAATTTGATTAGTTGAGTAAAAGCGAACTTTGACTCTAGATTTCATCTTGTTTCTCAAGTTCTTTATATAAAATGATTTAAAGTATATATGTAGTAGTATATATATATGTATATATAGTAGTATAATATATGTATATATGTAGTATAAGTATATATGTAGTAGTGTATATATATGTATATATAGTAGTATAATATATGTATATATGTAGTATAAGTATATATGTAGTATATATATGTATATATAGTAGTATAATATATGTATATATGTAGTATAAGTATATATATGTATATATAGTAGTATAAATACTACTATAGTATTTGCATATAACCTGTGCACATCCTTCTATATACTTTAAATCATCTCTAAATTACTTATAATACCTACTACAATGTAAATGCTAGGTAAAAAGTTGTTGTACTTTATTGTTTAGGGAATAATGAAAAGAAAATTAGCCTGGACATATTCAGTACAGACACAACCACCAAATATTTTTGATTTGTGGTTAGTTGAATCTATAAATGTAGAGCCCATGGATATGGAGGGTGGAGGGCCTACTGTGTAGTTATCTTTATAGGTTTTGAGCAGTTTCCTGTCCTTCACCCAGCTGGGTATAACCTTAACTATTAGAATCCTATATCATATACTGTTCTGGAATAAGCTCGAGATGCTATCTTGTCTAATCTCATTTTACCAATGAGGAAACGGGTCCTACAATTTCAATAATTTGTCAAATAGCACATAGCAAAACAAAGTGGTTTATATAAGATCGGAACCTAGTTTTCTTCACATTCCAGTGTTCTGTCCCCTTTGTGGACTTTGTACATTTGAATTTCTTTATACTTTGCTGATTTCAAATTCCTCACCAAACTCACTGACTTATCTGACTTCTGAATTATACCCAGAACAAAACACCTGTATGAAAGTCTTCAGTGGCACCCATTTTCTTTTCCTATTTTCCTTCCCTTCCTTCATCTCCCCCTCCCATCAGGCCTTCTTTTTCCTTCATTACTGCATTTTTGAATTCATGTAGAATCTATATATTTACCTTGAAGTTTTATTTCAAAATTTGTTAATTTTTCCTATATCCTTTTTTTTGTTATAGTTCTGAAAAGCCTACTATTTAAAAAAAAAAACAAACTCCTAATTGGCTTTTCCTCCTGGTCTATTGAATAAAGCACTAAATGGGGAATAAGAAAACCCTGATTCATTTTCTTACCTTGACCAATGACATACACACTCTGTGCTCTAGTTTTCTAATAACACCAATAAAGTGGTATATCTCTGTGCTGCAGAGTTATCAACCTGATTTAATTTAAAAATCTAGATATGGGCCGGGTACAGTGGTTTGCCCCTGTAATCCCATCACTTTGGGAGGCCAAGGCGGGCCAGTCACTTGATCCCAGGAGTTCAAAAACAGCCTAGGCAACATGGCAAAACCCTGTTTATACAAAAACACACAAAAAAAGTTAGCCAGGTATGGTGGTGTGCACCTTTAATCCCAGCCACTAGGGTGGGGTCAGGGGCTTGGGGGGGTGCTGATGTGGGAGGATCACTTGAGCTCTGGAGGCCAAGGCTGCAGTGAGCCATGGTCATGCCACTGCTCTCCATCCTGGGTAATAGAAGAAGACCCTGTCTCCAAAAAAAATCTCAATATATTTGTGGCTTTCCCAGAAAATTGTGCACAGAAAATAGAAAATGGTATTACCATTTTAAGATATGGAAAGAAAGATAATTGTTTTGATATTGATGGTTATTATTACTCATTTTTAAAGACTAGTATACTCCCAGCTTTCCAACACAATGATCAAGCAATCCTGTACCTGTGACAAGTCTATATTTCTTTTTTCTTTTTTTTGAGACCAAGTCTCGCTTTGTCGCCCAGGCTGAAGTGCAGTGGTGTGATCTTAGCTCACTGCAATCTCTGCCTCCCAGGTTCAAGCAGTTCTGCAGCCTCAGCCTCCTGAGTAGCTGGGATTACAGATGTGTGCCACCATGCCTAGCTAATGTTTGTATTTATAATAAAGATGGGGTTTCACCATATTGGTTAGGCTGGACAGGTCTGTATATTTTTTTGCCCTTATTTCACAACTGCTATGGTCTGAATGTTCCCCAAAATTCAGGTGTTGAAATGTAATCGTCAATATGATGGTATTAAGAGGTGAGGCCTTTAGGAGGTGATTAGGTCCTGAGGGCAGAGCACTTATGGATGAGGCTAGGACTCATAAAACAGTTGGAGAGAGTAGGTTCATTTTCTTCCATTCTTCTGCCATGTGAGGACACAGAATTCATTCCTTCCATAGCACACAGCAATAAACCACCATTTCTTAGAAGCCGAGTAGCCCTCATTAGATAGACAATCTGCTGGTGCCTTGATCTTTGACTTCCCAGCCTCCAAAACTGTGAGAAATGATTTTCTGTTGTTTACAAATAACCCAGTCTGTGGTATACTGTAATAGCAGCACAAAAATACTAAGATGTTTACCATATAACTTGTAAACTGGTGTTAGTGGTGGTAATAGAATTACTAATGTGTTTGTGTTACATGTTCATTGGTTCAATATAAGGCTGTGGTTTTGTGGTGATCCTATACTCGAAGTGTGCTTTTTTTTTTTAACTTTAAGTTCTGGGATATATGTGCAGAACATGCAGGTTTGTTCCATAGATATATTTGTGCCATGGTAGTTTGCTGTACCTATTAAATCATCATCTAGGTTCCTTCCCCTTGCCACCCGCCCCAGCAAGCCCCATGCGTGTCGTTCCCCTCCCTGTGTTCATGTGTTTACATTGTTCAGCTCCCACTTGTGAGTGAGAACATGCAACGTTTGGTTTTCTGTTTCCGTGTTAGTTCGTTGAGGATAATGGCTTCCAGCTTCATCCATATCCCTGCAAAGGACATGATCTCATTTTTTGTGGCTGCATAGTATTTCATAGTATATATGTACCACATTATTTTATCCAGTCTATCATTGATGGGCATTTGGGTTGGTTCCATGTCTTTACTGTTGTAAATACTGCTGCAATAAACATATATGTGCATGTGTCTTTATGATAGAATGATTTATATTCCTTTGGAAATATGCTCAGTATATTAGTCTGTTTTCATGCTGCTGATAAAGACATACCCAAGACTGGGAAGAAAAAGAGGTTTATTTGGACTTACAGTTCCACATGGCTGGGGAGTCCTCAGAATCATCACAGGCACTTTTTACATGGCAGTGGCAGGAGAAAATGAGAGATGCAAAAGCAAAAAACCCCTGATAAAACCAACAGATTTTGTGAGACTTACTCACTACCATGAGATCATTATGGGGGAAACCACCCCCATAATTCAAATGATCTCCCACCAGGTCCCTCCCACAATATGTGGGAATTATGGGAGTAGAATTCAAGATGAGATTTAGTTGGGGACAGAGAGCCAAACCATATCACCCAGTATTGGGATTGCTGGGCCAGATGGTATTTCTGGTTCTAGATCCTTGAGGAATCAGCACACCATCTTCCACAATGGTGAAATTAATTTACACTCCCACCAACAGTGTAAAAGCATTCCTATTTCTCCACAGCCTGGCCATCATCTATTGTTTCCTAATTTTTTAATAATTGCCTTTCTGACTGGCATGAGATGGTATTTCATTGTGGTTTTTATTTGCATTTCTCTATCAGTGATGTTCAGCTTTTTCTCATATTTCTTGGCTGCATAAATGTCTTCTTTTGAAAAGTGTCTGTTCATATTATTTGCCTACTTCTTGATGGGGTTGTTTGTTTGTTTTTTCTTGTAAATTTGCTTAAGTTCCTTGAGGAGTCTGGATATTAGACTTTTATTAGATGAGTAGATTGCAAAAATTTTCTCCCATTCTGTAGGTTGCCTGTTCACTCTGATGATAGTTTCTTTTCCTGTGCAGAAGCTCTTTAGTATAATTAGATCCCATTTGTCAATTTTGGCTTTTGTTCCATTGCTTTTGGCATTTTCATCACGAAATCTTTGCCCGTGCCTATGTCCTGAATGGTATTACTTAGATTTTCTTATAGGGTTTTTATGGTTTTGGGTTTTACATTTAAGTCTTTAATCCATCTTGAGTTAATTTTTATATAAGGTGTAAGGAAGGGGTCTAGTTTCAGTTTTCTGCATATGGCTAGCCAGTTTTCCCAGCACCATTTATTAAATAGGGACTCCTTTCCCCATTGCTTGTTGTCAGGTTTGTCAAGGATCAGATGGTTGTAAATGTGTGGTGTTATTTCTGAGCTCTGTGTTCTGTTCCATTGGTCTATATGTCTGTTTTGATACCAGTACCATGCTGTTTTGGTTACTATAGCCTTGTAGTATACTTTGAAGTCAGGTAGCATGTTGCCTCCAGCTTTGTTCTTTTTGCTTAGAATTGTCTTAGCTATACAGGCTCTTTTTGGTACCATATGAAATGTAAATTAGTTTTTTCTAATTCTGTGAAGAATGTCAATGATAGTTTGATTTTTTTTTTCTTTTTTTTTTTTTTTTTTTTTTGAGATGGATTCTAGCTCTGTTGACCAGTCTGGAATGTAGTGGTGCAATCTCAGCTTATCGCATCCTCTTCCTCCCAGATTCAAGTGATTCTCTTGTCTCTGCCTCCCGAGTAGCTAGGATTATAGGCATGTGCCACAATACCTGCCTAATCTTTGTATTTTTAGGAGAGACAGGTTTTTGACATGTTGGCCAAGCTGGTCCCAAACTCGTGACCTCAAGTGATCTGCCAGCCTCAGCCTCCCAACGTACTGGGATTACAGGCATGAGCCACCTTGGTAAATAGGTGTTTAAGATGGCATGAGTGAGTGTTTTTAACAAAGGCCCTCCTTGCCATATCCTCATCCCAGTCCTAGTTTAGTTAATACGACAGTAGTTGTCTTTTGCAAGATAAAGATTATAAGTAGGTAACCATTTTGGCATTTGATGCACTTTACAGGTTGCAACCAATAATGTACTATAAACTTAGATTTTATAATAAGATCATGGTATCTTAACAGATCATATTCTGTAGGATAGTTATGGAAAGTTTCTAAGTACTCTTTTAAGGCCATGATTCATCAACCATTTGCTTAGCCTCTCAGTATTTGCTGCCACTTGGCAGTATCCTTCGTAATAAAAATAGGTCCTGAAATACCTTGGGGGTTCAGTGAAGTTAAAGACAAGTTAGGGATCCAGGTAAAGCTTCAGAGAGGTGATGGAATCCCCTTGATGAGATTCCAGTAAATTAAGATCTTAGTATGACTTGTGGGGGTTAAAGATGATAGGAGGAAGAGAAGAGGTTAGAATTCTAGGTAGAAAAAAAGCAAATTAAACCGAGATATAAGATAAAGAAAGTACAGAGTAAATCTGAAGAGCAATAAGTAGTCCATCTTGCCTGAAGCATAGGATATGTGTATAGTACTGAGAGAAATTCTGCGGTGGAAGAA